CAAGGGCAGGGCCAGTTGAAGATAATTGAATCACAAGGGCAGTTTTCCTGATACTGTTCTCATAGTGGTAAATAAGTCTCATGAGATCTGCTGGTTTTATAAATGGAAGTTCCCCTGTACAAGCTCTCTTGCCTGCCGCCATGTAATATGTGATTTCGCTCCTCATTTGACTCTGCCATCACTATGAGGCCTTCCAGACATGTGGAACTGTGGGTCCATTAAACCCCTTTCCTTTATAAATTATGCTATCCTGGGTATGTCTTTATTAGAAATGTGAGAACAGACTCCAATTGTCCAGGCTAGTCGTGAACTCCTGAGCCCAAGTGATCCTCCTGCCCAGGCTGGTCGTGAACTCCTGAGCCCAAGTGATCCTCCTGCTGAAGCCTCCTAAGTATTGGGAACCAAATGTGAGTGCCATGATGGCTGGCTATTCCTTTGAATAATATAATTATTAAAGCATTCCCAAGGGGAAGTCAAAAGAGGGAAGATACAGAACAGCACTTGATAATGTGTCCTAACCAGAGTGGGCAATCTAATACTGCCATAGCATGCATTCTCAAGGGAGGCAATGCTAACCTTAAGGGGACAAAAATAGACTCGGGGGAGTGAGGCAAAAATCCGGTATTTTATGGATGAAAACACGAATATAGTATATAAACAGATATACGGTTTATCTGTAGTAGTAACATTTCAAGGAAATAGCAATTAGTAAAAATTGTTGAAAAAACTCCTCTAAGGGGCAGTAATAGAAAATCATTCAGAAATACTATGCTAAGGTATCAGAGACATTTTTTCTTTTGCTTTTATAACATATTAACTCTTATCTTAGAGGAACATGCCTAGAAGAGCATGATACAATGAAAATGTGAAGGGGAGTTAAAGGGAGTATACCTAACTTTTCTATAATGTAGTTGGGGATTTTGCAGCCTCTCCATAGATTTTGAAATAAATCCAAGCTATACAACCCATACATATTGCATAGATATGTTTGCTAAATTCACAGAATACTTTCATAGCACTACATATAAGAGAAAACAATTAGATGTCATCACTGAGGAAAAGCAGGTTCCAGTTTGCTTTAACAGCTTTATGCAGACAAAGGCAAAGATTCCAAGGAACTAAGGTGAAGAAATCACCCTTCCAATACCACATCTGGCTTTTACCTATAACTAAATTAAGAGGAAATAATTTTTAGAATATATTTGGTATCATATTGTACACCAAACTGTGGTCTAGAGAAACTCTTACTCCAATTTTGTTTAGCAATGTATACCATAAAACTTTATCCATTTGACATACAGATTAAAAAGAGCTATTTGAATACTACAGCTATGAGGCGGAAAATATTTTATTTAGTAAAGCAGGAATAAAGAGAGATAAAGAGGAGATAATGTAGAAAACTCTGGAGATATTTGCATTAATATATCAGTTCATATGTCCCTCAAGCTTTCTACTTCTTCACTTGTTGCACATATTACAAGGATAAATTAGAGAGGCAGAGTAACCGTACTGGGGAGAGAAATTGGAAAAAAAAATCTTTAGCCACAAAGTAATGGTTGTTCAGACATAGGCTCATTAAATTTTGGCACATTCTCTGCATACACTCAAGTTTATCAGGGATATGACATTATAAGATGCTAAAGTTCTGTTAAAGTTCTCCCTAAAAATGTTTTGACATATGATAGGTTTGAATGATAGAAAGTTTAGTTTTGACTTCAGTTTTATAAAATTTGCCTTATCACACAGTATCTCATCAAAACTGTCCAAAAGTTTTGTCTTCAAAACAAATTTTCAAAGTCAATTACCTACATATATTGGTTTTTAATGTATCTATGTATATATCTAAAATACATTACATAATTTGATATATCAATGTATATATTTACCTATATACATTGATATATCAAATTATGTAATGCATTTTCATGTGTCATATAAAACATTCTACATTTTCAAATGTTATTCAGCAAATGATTACAGTTATTTCTTTAGCTTCAATATGAATCTAAGAAATGTATTAGTAATTTTAATTCAGAAATATCCATTAAGTACTCAAAAGAATGTTATCTTCTACTTCTTCAAATTTGTAGTAACAAATTGTGGTGAATAAAGAGATATCCATCTTTACATTTAAAATAAGTCTTTTTAAAAAACCTCTAAAGCAGAAGAATCTTTTAACTATCTGGTGTTGATGGACTACATTACATTTCTTCGGCTCAGATTATTAATCCACAAAATGATACTTGAAAACTCTTCATTGTAAATACAGATTTTTAAACTCTTCACAGAGGGGGAAAAGTACTTATTACAAAGTATATGATAACGTGTTTCCATACATATTTTTCTAATACGACTTGGAAGAGATGCCACATCTCAAAGTTCATTCTCTCCATGTAATTCTATCTCTAGTTTGCTAATTATCATTTGCTTTCTAAGTTGGAGAGTGTTCTAAAGCATCATTAAAGAGAACCCGAATCTCAAAATATTAATTAAGGAAACGTTCACGCTGCAACATATTTGAAAGCAGTTACTTTTGTAACAAATACAGTTGTTACTCAACTCTATGACAGCTTTTTTGGTTTTAAATACCAATTCTAAAAATTTTACTTTCATGAATAAATATAAAACATTCTATGATATATATAAGCATAATTTTCATGAGTGGCTAGCCCTCCCCACCTGTCTAAAAATAAAGCTATTTAAAAAGAGTAAAACTAGAAGAATCATGCCAAGTTATTTGGCTTTAGTGCTTCTTAGACAATGAAAAAGAAGAAAAGACCATATGCTTTCTAATTTTCCTACAACACTTTATATGCAAATTTGGATGTGAAATGCATGTATTTTACATGCACCTGTGTGATAAATGTTTCTTGGGTAAAAAAAGTGTTTAGTTTTAGTTTAAAATTTATATTTCAATTGACTCTATTCCAATATATAGTAACTAGAGGTAAAGTCAGTTTATGTAGTCCTAGGACAAAAATTAGGGTTATAAATGATTTCATTAATAATTTCATTAATAAACTCTTATAGCTTTAATTTATAGGAAAAAAAAAACAGGCAAAATGTCAACTTTTCTAGATTAGATTCACACCAAAGTGAAAATCTAAAATCTTTTTTTGTATATAATTTTCAGGCAAAAAAAATTAATCAATTTAAAAAAATATTGGATGAGTCTTGACACTCATGACACAATGGTGATGCATACCATTGCCACCACATCGAAAACTTCCCTCGGTATTTGCAGCTAATTCCCTCCCCTAAACCTGGCCCCTGGAAAGCACTGATCAACTTTCCAACAATCTAGTTTCACCTCTTCAAAAAATTTACATAAATCAAACCATTAAGCATATAGTCATTTGAGTGTGTCTTCTTTTATTTAGCATAATGTTTTTGAGTCATCCAAGTTATTGTTCTGTACCACTAGTTAGAAAAGTCTGTACAAGGATGGAAACCATAAAGAGAAAGAGAATGACCAACTAGCCAAAGGAAATTGTATTACTTGCTATAATTTCATGCAATACATTATCTACACCTTAGAACCAGCTTAATAAAACTGCTAGATTTCTTTTATTTTTCTAAATCTAAGACTCAGATCCATAAATACTGTTTAGTTGTTTTTGAATCATAACCAGTCCAGATTCTGGTACTTCAGTAAGCATCCATGCTTGAGTTTGACAAAGCCACTCAAAGACACCTTCTAAGTGAGAACATGTGGTGTTTGGTTTTCTGTTCCTGAGTCAATTTGCTTAGGTTAATGGCCTCCAGCTGCATCCATGTTGCTGCAAAAAAATTTGATTTTGTTCTTTTTTTAGCAGCTGCATATATCCCATCGTGTATATGTACCACATTTTCTTCTAGGTGGAAGCTAAATATGGGGTACACATGGAAACAAAAATAAAAACAGTGAACAGTGGGGACTACTAGACAGGGGAAAAGGAAGAGAAACAGGGGCTTTAAAACTACATATTGGATGCTATGTTCACTACCTGGGTAATTGGATCATTCATACCCCAAACCTTTTTGTCAAGCAATAAACCCCCGTAACAAACCTGTAACCTCTAAATCAAAAATAAAAGCTGAAATTATCTAAAAAGTGGATTATCAGGACAATCTAATGTTTGAACATGAGTATCTCACCCTTAATAGAAGATTAATCTACATCTATATAGATTTTTACAAAATAAAGATACTTTCTAACCTACAAGATGAGACTACAACTTAAATATTGCCAAATAGCAAAACTGTATATCTGAAATAACTGGTAAAGGTTTTCACAAAACTAAGGCACAATTACAATAATGAAATTATGTTGAACTATGATAAAGATACAGGCCCAGTAACAGTCACTAGCGGACAATGCTATCACTTTTACATTAACTCAAACCCTACATTAATAAATCTTTCCCCATCCTTAGTGGTTTTACATTTTGCCTACAGTTTGGATTTGTGTCAACACTCAAATCTCATGTCAAATTTTAATCCTCAGTGTTTGAGGTGGGGCCTGGTGGGAGGTGACTGGATCATGGGGGCGTATTTCCCCCTTGCTTTTCTTGTGAAAGTGAGTGAGTCCTCAGGAAATCTGGTTGGTTAAAAGCGTGTGGACGTCTCCCCTCTTCTCTTCCTCCTGCTCCTGCCATGTAAGACATGCCTGCTTCCCCTTCACCTTCCACCATGACTGTACGTTTCCTGAGGCATCCCCGGCCATACCATCTGTACAGTTTGTGCAGCCGTGAGACAATTAAACCTCTTTTCTTTATAAATTAACCAATCTCAAGTATTTCTTTACAGCGGTGTGAGAACAGCCTAATACAGATTACATAGCAAGTCTGGATTCCTTTTCAAAGAGTATCTTAAACTAGTTCAACAATTTAAAATATCAGTTTCTGTCATTTCCCATCTTGTGGGTTTAAGATGACCAAACAAGAAGATCGAAGAAGAAAGAAAAACAATCTTTTTACCCACATGGTGTAAAATCATAGCCACCTGTGCTGTGCTTTCAGTGTTACTAACCAAAATGAAAAGCTCCAAATTAAGTGCTTCTTTCTACACGCTGCAGGGAAGTGTATTCATGCGGCAGGCAAAGAAATTTCCAACTACTAACCACCACTCAAAGAAGCATGCTAAAAATAGCACCCACACCCTCTGGCTGTAAGAACTTGTTCAGAAGATGAGAAGGGGTTAACCATAAGGAAAGATCCTTGAAATGATGAAACAACATGAAAAAGGTAAAGTTAGGGCCCATGGGGGCGTCTAATTTTACTACAAGGCAGTTCTCTGTTAACATGTAATTTAGGGCACCCCAAACCAACAAACACCAGCGTACATCTGAGTAGTACTTGAATTTTTTCACTTATGATTCTATTTTCTTCTACTTTGTTGTCTTTTGTACATGGACAATTTAAAATGTCACTGAAAATTACTGATGTGGTTTTGCAGCGAATGAATGGCTAAGAATAGCACACTGTGGAGGATCTAATCACACTTTATGCTGACTTCCTCACACTCAGTGCTGATGTTTCCTTAATCCTTCAGCTGTTGCTTCTAAATACACTAGGTTAATGCTTGACAAATTCACTTCTGTTGGGGGATAGTACCATGTTTTAAAAATATCATATAAAACAAATACAATAACATAAATATTTGTCCCCCCAAATACACTGTACTTTTCAACTATAATTTTACCAGTCCCTTTCCCTCTGTTTCTGGAGAGCCTCCAAATATAGGAATTTTATAAACTGGTTAGAAAAGCATGGAAAATCCTCAGGTAAGTATCATGGGTAGCTTACGTTGCAAGTTCTTCAAGGCAGAGGAGATAATGCTGTTCAGTGTTATCATTCTAACACCTAGCACAGAGTAGGTATTCAATAAATATTTGTTGATTTATTGTGTATATTACATAGAAGATACAAAATAATTATAACATATAGTGTTTGCACAAAGAATGTGGAATTCCTGAAGGATAAAAAAATGTATCCTACATGTGCATTGATAAAATGTTATTTCTCATATAATCATGTACATAAAAGTCATTATCACTTTCAACAATGACATAGAAACCATTTTTAAAAAGAAAACAAATTCTAACTTTCCTTTGGTATTTGAAATGCCACTTGAATCCTAAGTAACTATTCTTACATCTTCTTGAAATTTTTGGACTAAAAATAAATTTCATCCTATTGGATAAGAAAACAACAGCAGGCTTCAAATGTCAATGATTAAGGGCCTATTGGATTACACAAATATTTTGAACCATTGAGTTCAATACTGAAGTATTTTAATTAATATGTTCAAAAATAGCTCAATGGGATACTAGATAATCATATGATTTTAAGAGGCAAATTATATTTCAATGCTTCTGAATGTATATACACAGAGAAAAATATATTCCGTTTTCTCATTGACAATGTTGATATCAGAATGTAGCTGGGTGACGGCAAGATTGCTTGGCATTTTGCTGGGCTACCATAAGGGATACGACAGCAGCCACAGGTCTTTTAAATATGAGCCAGCAAAGTTTTAATTTAGGAAATGGTGTTGATTTGAGGCATTTAGAATGTTCTTAAAGAAAAGCTTAGCCTGTTGGCTGCTTCTAAGAAGTACAAACTCATTATAGCTATATTAACTAACTGAAGAACTAGGAAAAGGCATGATATGAAACATAGACTAAATGAAGGGAACTATTTTCTTAATCTTCATTTATACCAACTTTAGTTGACACACTCAATTTATACCATCATTTTTTATTCTGAAATACTTGATGTGCCATTTGCTGGTAAGCTGCTATTTTAATTAGAGGGCTTTTAAAAACTACAATCAATATAATTTGCCATGCACTTTATTTTTTTAAAGAAACAACAAATTCTAGATGCCAAATTATAGTTAAAAAGAAAATACATCAGAACAGAGAAAAGTTTTTCTCACCATGTTTTCTGAAAACTATGGCGAATTTTCAAATACATGGCAAACAGAATATCAGCAATTCATCCTTGCTTTTTGTCAATTTCAGAAATAAATACATATATTATAGATGTCCTCCCTTGTGCATGGTATATGTAGGAAAGTTGGTAATTTACACTTTAAAATGTTGGTTCCTTTTTACAGACAAATATATTGATACACATACACATCTTGGAAAAACCCTTGCCAACGATGTTTTCATTGGAATTCCTTAAATTATGGAAACATAACCTCAAATGGGGATGTTTATTAAAGGTTTATGGAACCTCTACTTACCTGTGGCTTGCAGTTGAATTCTAAATGATGCTAGAAGTATCAAATCCAAAAGAAAAGCCCATGTGGAAAAAAGGTATCAAAGCCTAAAGGATTTATGTTTAAATTATTGAGATTCAACTGGGAATGCATGGTTTATTTATGCTGATTTCCTTTCTGCCTGCATTGTATGTGTTAGGTCTATTGGGTTTAGGACAGAAGACAATGACTTCTTTTCTGTATATTTTAATATTTTTTCTACATCAGTTATCCATGTTGATAAGACTAGTGACTCAAAAATGAACATTTTAACACAGTGTATGTGTATGTGAAATTTCATCTTCCTTCTAATTAGCTCAGAGAGCTGGATTTTCACGATAGGGTAAGAAAATTATTCATTAGGAGAAAAAAATTACAAAACCTATTTTTTATACCAATACAGGATATCAAACCAGATCTGGTAGAAATCACACATAATATTCCTACTTAATTAATATAACATGCTCAGAGATATTATATAAAACATATCACACACAAGCTGGGAACGCTGTAGTAGCAAGCTATCCAGAAGATGAATTGTTTTACGGGAAGCCAATTATTACAAACATACAACATAGCCAGATACACTCAGTTCTGACTATTATTTCTATAGATGGGGTATGCACTGGGGAAACCTATGGTCTTCCTACACCCCACCAGGCTCTCTAAATTGTTGCTAAATCTACCAAGAGCTGTGCCCAGAAAAGGGGAAAAGGAGTAGATACACAAATTAAACTTTAGACTCTAGATTAGCAACAGATGTCTGCTTCTTGCCTACAGTGATGTTGTCTCAGGGTTTCAAGGATGACAGTTTCTTCTCCCTTATCCAAGTGATGGGAATAAGCATAAGGCAACGGACTGGTTTTCCTAATATTAGAGAAATTCTACCGATGTGCACATAATTGAACAGTATCATTTGTACAGTTTTACTATTGGATGGGAAAAAATTAAGTAAATATATTAGCAGAAATGTACTTTTTTCTAGTCTTAGTGTCCTAAACTCTTTTTCAGGTGGCATTTAGGAGTCAGGAAGCCCACACTACAAGGAAATCCCAGTGCTGCAGTTGAGAATAAATAATTTCATTAAGTCTTTCTGCTGGAATGGGTCCTGTAGAAAATTTGGAGCACAGTGAGTATTTAAAACTTACATTATGCCTTTTTCTCTGCCATTTCACACAAATGCCCTCATATATTTTCTAATAACTTGCTTCTACATGAGAATAAAAATATATGCATTTTTCATTGAACATATGTTCCATATTTTGTTAAGAAAAAAGACGACTCACACAAAAGAAGCTAATTAAAAAACATTAAATGTTTCTCTGGTGTGGTGTATTAACAGTACTTAAGAATTATGTTATAACAGTAAGCTGTAATTATAACATAGCAGAATAATAATGATATAATTCAGCAAGCTCAAAGCAACCCTACTACATCCAAATGCAGTGAATACCCAGCAGGGAACGGCATTTTACAACAAGTTGCTTTCCATTCTAGGCAGGTCATATAATATTTATCTTTTATTTCACTGAGTGTGATCATGATGCAAAATAATGTGCTCTGTTGTGCAGAAAGGGTTAAGTTATGGCCTTTGTGAGCCATTAGTTGGAGATTTATTGGGGGAGTTAGTAAGTCTATAGTTCAATATGTGGTGATTGAACAAGGACCATAGGTGCAGAGACAGAGAGAGGAAGAGAGTGGAGGCAAATGACGCCCCTAGGGCTTTACAACATATGGCCCATCAGTCAAGGGTCAAGCCCCCTCACAAATTGCATGCACTTTACATAGCCATCTGCATCAATAAATTACTACTCTCCTGTAGCCAAGCACTAATGCATGAGCAAGAGGGATCAGTCCCACTAAAAGTAAACTGTTTTATTTATTCTTCACTGCTGCCCCATACTCCAACCCAACTTTTCCACACTAGAATTTCCTCCCATAATCAGGCCTATCCACTAATAAAAACCCTTATTCTTTCAAATATACATTGGTCTTTTCCAGGGTGATGGAGCATGTGATACACAGTAACAGAGGTGCAGGTGAGTCAGGTTTGAACACCTATAAGAAACTGTACCTGGGAACATGAAACATTTTAACCATTATCTTCTAATTCTTCCTGCCAAATTTCCCTGTGAAGTCCAAGAAGTGGATTGCTAATGAAAAGTTTCTGGATATTTTACTTTGCAGTTTTAGATATTGACCATTTATAAATTATGGCCATCATCCATAAAACAACTAATATTTTTGCCTACCACTTATATGTAGAGAGAACCTTTGAATTTGATAGTCCTGGGCATCTTTGAACCAGCATGCAAACTAGATTTCAACTAAGATATTTTTCGTGTAAATTCAGTAGTTAATATCATTGAATTGTATCTGAACTTTTATGTTGCAATGTCTTGAACAAAAAATTAAAGTTTTGTGAGCCTGAGAATGTCTTTTATAACTGAAAGCAGAAAAATATGTATAGCTCTTGATAACCCACAAGAAGTAAACCGCTCTGAAAAAGAATAAATATTGGAAAAGCTCATCCATTTGTAGCTATGTAGTTGGATAGTGGTAAGCCTGAAAAAAAAAATCAACCTTTTTTGTTTCACAAAATCGAAGATTTTGGAGAGAAATGGAAAAAAAAAAAAAAAAAAAAAAAAAAAAAAAAAAAAAAAAAAAAAAAAAAAAAAAAGAGAGAGTGAAGATGGAATAAGGTAATAACATGCTTGAACCACCTACTTTGAGCTGGGCATTGTGACTCTTACACAAATCACTTAATTTCATTCTCACAACAATTGTCTGATATAGATAATTATTATCATTATATTACAGACAACAAAATGGAGGATTAGACAAGATTAAAGGATTTGCCCAAGATCACACAGTGAGAATTAGATCAGGGATTTACATGGAACTCTTCCTGGTCCAAAGTTCATCACCACCAACTTTCCAAGAAAGGAAGTTGGAGGAGTGTGGTGAGAGCAGACTACAGGTGCGATGTCATGGAACCCTAGCGGAGAAACGGCCTTTCTGTATGGTCTTGTTCAGCCACTCCTCAGCTGCTTTAGCTTCATCCGTAAAGGAAGCCCTCACCAGCAGCAGTTCTTCCTGCTGTGGTGCACACACAAATAGAGAGAAGCAGCAGTGCAGTTCAAGGAGAAAAATAATACAGACAAGAAAAGGGAAGAGATAAGAGGAGGTCAGGACAGCCCTGAAACTTAATGGTGGCCAGAAATGGGCTCAATGATTGTCCATATCAAGGCTAGATTGCCATTCATATGCTACCTAGAGCACTGAATAGAGAAGATGCCCAGGAGTACATGAATAAGAGGTGAAGATTTTTTTTAAAAGTAGAAATAAATAGCATAGGGGAAAGTGAAGGTTTAAAAAAAAAAATCCTTCGCCTAGTGAGATATTCTTCAGCTTATCTGAAAAACTGATTGAAACCTCAGTTTGTTCTTGTACTTTATAAGACTGGGTTAGGCAACCTTTTGGAACATGTCCTGATTCTGCATAATCTTACCAAATATGTAAAATAACTTTATGTGCACCCCCCAAAATTAAGAGACGCACATCCATGAATGAATTTTTCTTACAGGTTGTTACATATTAAAAGGGCAAACCTGGATTCCTATAAACCCTATGCATTTCTTTAAATACTCCAAAGTAGTCTATTGATGTAAAACATAATTAATTATCTTTTCAATTGAGAGAAAATAGGAATAGGCATGATTTAGTATGAGAAACAGATGTGTACTTCATGTCTGAGATTGGATTCTACTTCATGACACATATTAGAGTGGACACAAGACCAAATTTTTTTGATTTAGATGGAAAGTATACAGTAAGATTTGCATTGTAATGGATCCATTGACCCTTGGTCAAGATGAAATTGTCAATAGAAATGTCTTATGTATGGTATGAATCATATCTAATGGTTCTATTAACATCATATTGAGATTGAAGTCTCAAGAAGCATGACTTAGAATAATGGAAATGGAAGAGGGCTTTATTTATTATTTTCATTTCATTTCTGCAAGTGTATTTTTTCACATTATATCATCTCTCATAAAGAAAAGTAGGCAATGATATACCTATTAAAATTATATCAAAGCATATAAACTTGTAAAAGGCATGAAGTTTTAAAACAGATGTTATTTTCCCCACAAGATAATCTTCTAATGGCCTACACCTTAAGAAATAAGGAGGTTAGTGACTAATGGAAAGAAGGGTGGATTGGCAGTGAACAAAAGTAGTATCTTTGACCACTCCTGCCTCTGACATAGCGCGTCTATTGGCAAGGGCCTCCATTTTCTGCTCTCAGATTCTTCAATTGGAAAATGGGGATAATGTGATGCCTGCCCTTGTTTTAGGTCATAGGGATGTAAGGATGGATCAGACAATATAAATGAGGCACTTGGAGGAGCGCATTAGAAGAAATTGGTTTCTGAGTTACAATAGATATTTAATGATACCATATTCCAATTCCATCAGATTAAGTGACCAAATTTAATGTTTAGCAAAATGGGCAATCATCAATCCAGAAAGTTTTCTAATTGATCAAGGTATTTCTGAAGGCACAAGAGTAATGAGATTTTTCTATAGTGATACACCTAAACTAACAGACTGCATTTTAGTTTTTTAAATGTTGAAATATAATATCTTAACTACACTATTCAGTCGGTTAACAATAAACCAAAAGACAATTCTCTATTCAGACTTGTCAGAAGTGCAGCAATGACGAAGAAAAATATCAAAGAAACAGAGAGTGTTAAGGAACTAGAGAGAAAAGCTTCCAACTTACTATATGTACATGTATGTAGTAGAACTAACCGGGATATAAAGCTGTGATTCTAGAAGTCTGTGAATGGTGATAAAATATCATATCAAAAACAAAAATACTATTGACTTCTCTAGGAGGATCAAGTTGAGAAACTGAAGGATATTTCTCTTCCTGGCAGACACAGATCTTTTTTAGAATTAAAAAAAAAAAAAGAACATCTACAGTTAACATTCCTGTGGTGGCCGAGAATAAACCTGAGTAAAGTAGAATAAATTTGGATGAAAATTACTGTCTTTATCCAAATGTACAGAAGCACAAGAGAAAAAAGTCCAGATGTTCATGTGAAATGGCAATTGCACAAAACCAATTTGGTGTGAGATAAAAGAAGCTGAGATGGATTTGGGGAACAATGAACAAAGTCAGGAACTGCTAAAACAATAATACTAGTAAAGCTGACAAGTAACATTTTTTCTGGATCTTTTTAAGTTTATGTATAGATAAAGATCTATAGACTATCTTCTGTTTTTATAACTACTTATATAATTTTTGTTTAAATCTTCTAGAAGAAAATCGTGGCTGTTTTTTCCATTTGCTAACAAGCACTGAATTTATTTATTTATTTATTTATTTATTTATTTTCTTCTTTTTTCTCTTTTCTTTTTTTAATTTATTTTATTGCATTTTAGGTTTTGGGGTACATGTGAAGAACATGCAAGATTTTTGCATAGGTACACACGTGGCAGTGTGATTTGCTGCCTTCCTCCCCATCACCTATATCTGGCATTTCTCCCATTGCTACCTCTCCCCAACTCCCCACCCCCCACTGACCCTCCCCTATTTCCCCCCAACAGACCCCAGTGTGTAGTGCTCCCCTCCCTGTGTCCATGTGTTCTCATTGTTCAACACCTGCCTATGAGTGAGAACATGCGGAACAAGCACTGAATTTAACATTTGAATTAACGTATTCAGAGTAGCACCTATGGCAGTGAGGTTAAACACTGGCAGATGAGGTTGATGGCGATGCTGGTGTTGATGGTGATGGATATGACGAAGGTACTGATGAAGGTGATAGCTAACCTTTATTGAGTTTTGCTATGAACCAAGTGCCACTCTAAATACTTTAATTAATTCATTAAATTTTCACAGTAGTTTATTTTACTCTGAGAACACCAAGACACAATGCTTAGATTGTCTAACTAATTTTGTATGTGTCTGTGTGTGTGTGTGCTCATGCACAAATCAAAGTATTTTGAGTGATTCATAGTAAAGTTAAGAAATTGTAACTTTAAAGACAAAAATACCACTTGGCCCAGCAATCCCATTACTGGGTATATACCCAAAGGTATATAAATTGTTCCATTGTAAAGACACATGCACTCATGTTCACTGCAACCCTATGCACAACAG